CCCCCCCCCCCCCCCCCCCCCCCCCCGCCAGACACAGCAACAGCAACACTTGTGTCACCATTGTGAGACCTTATCCCCAGGTTCCCTGACAAAAGCAGTTACAATCCAGGCTACCCACCCAGCTAGGCCAGTTTCCTTCCAGTTTCTTTTCTTTGTAAACAATAGACTCATTCCAGCCTCTGGGTCTTCATTCATGTCGTTCCCTGCCCTAGAATCTACTGAGATGGCTAACAGTTATTAGTGTAAAGTCCTGCAGTCAGGGTCCCCTTCCTATGTCTAGCTGGGGCACAGAGGTGAGAAAGCTATTCTGGCCACCAGCCCTGGAGTCAGGAGGACCTGAGTTCAAATCCGGCCTCGGACCAAACACTTGACATTAACTAGTTGTGTGATCTTGGGCAAGTCACTTAACCCCAATTGCCTTAAAATAAATACACAAACAAACAAACAAATAAATAAGAAAGCAAGCAAGCTATGCTGGCAAAGCCCTGGCAGCCGGGGCCTGTGATATAGGAAGGCTTTGTATGTGGGCCCAGTGATGGCCTGCTGAATGGTCTGATGTGCTTCAGGTTTATCACTAGAAAACTGGCTTCAAGGTGATGAATTTCAAAAACAGCCACATGGGAAAACCATGCACTGAAGTGTGGGAGAACTAGGGATCCATGTTGGTGTAGGAAGTACCCAAAATAAAAATCATACATAGACAAGATAGCATTTAGAGCTGGAAGGGACATCTTCCATGAGGGGACTGAGACCCAGGGGTGACATGAATAGTCTGAAGGTCCATACCAGGAGCAAAAAGTAGCAGGGTCAACATTCATCCCCAAGCCTTAGAACTCCAAAGTCAATGACCTATCCAACCCAGGGCCTCCCAAATCATGGACCCTGGGAAGTCTGAAATGTAAAGTCATGCACTAGGGTTCCAAAAACTCAATTGCACTAGGTTATGACAGGCAATGATTGGGTAGAGAGTAGCTCCTATGGAAAAGACTTGGGGTATTGGGGGGGGACCTTAAAAGCTAAAAAAAAAAATCAAGAGCAATATGGAAGTCAAAAATGTAATATCTTAAGCTGTATTAGGAGGAGTATAACACGGGAGGTGATGGGTTTACAGCCCTCTAGCCTAATCAGACATCTGGAGTACTATGGTCACTTCTGGGGATCACATTTTAGGAAGAACTTTCCACTAGACCTACCGAGCTTGCCATTGTGAAGAGGACAGTAAGAGGACTAGAATATATACTAGCTATCATTTATATTTCTATAATTATATAAATTTTACAGCCATCCTCACCGAATCCTCTCCATAACCCTGAGGTGAGAGTCCTCCCATTTTATTGACGGGAAAATCATGGCTCAGAGAGCATGGTTACCCAACCAGCGCACATTAGCGGTGGAAGCTGAGCCCCGGTCTTCCTGACTTCTAGTCCAAGCAGGGCCCTTTCCACTTTACCACACTCCCTCTCCAACAGGCCACCCGACTATCTTCGGAAGAACCTGGGAATGTAAGGCTGAGAGCAGAACAGATTTGGGCAAGGGGGTGGAAGGATGTACCTGCTTTTAACTATCTGAGGGGCTGTCATGCGGAAGGCTTGCTCTGTTCAGTGCCAGAAAGGGGGCCGGGCTTTGGGGGGACAAGGAAGGTGGCCAAGAGAATGACACTTACATATAACGGGAAAATTTCCCTGTCATGGGAGCTCCTCACACTGCAGCTGGTAACACCGCAGAGTGAAGGGATTCCAGGTCAAGTCAACTCTCCTCAACATCCTCCCCCAGCACAGGGAGCTCTCCTTTCACTCAGGACTTTTCCATTCATCCTCAGCAACTTACTGCTCTATTTTGTGTCCAGGGCACAATTTAGCATTTTTATCACATTCAAATAGGATGAATAAAAACAATGTTTTGTTCTTTCATTGTTTCAGCTGGAGGAGTCTTATCTGGTCAGCCTGGGCATTGCCCAGGCCTGCTCCTCCCCTGGCTCCCCTGACGGCCTGGCCTCTGGCTCGGGCTCCCCCACAAGACCTTTTGGGCTTTGGGACACAGAGGAGACTGGTGGATGACACAGTGGGTTGTTTGTACAGGGGCTGGGCGAATGGGCC